AAGTTAAATCAGTTGATCTGTGAACACATTCACTCCTCCACTCTAACTACCATGTTAATGCTGGTTAAATTTCAACATCAAGAGAAAGAAAAAAAATTCCCCCCTCATATGCATATAGATTACATCTAACACATTTAGCTGACATAGTTCCAATTTTATAAGCTACCATACTGGGGAAATTTCAAAAATAATTTTTAAAAAGTACATTTAATTTTGGTTCATAGAAACATCCACAGAATAAGAAAGAAACACACACTCGCACATTCATATGTGTGTTTAGTTGTTGCCTAATACATCTTAACCAATGAAATCCCTCTCATAATTCAAAAATCTACCTGTAAAACTTCATACACATCCATGATGGGTTTAGATTCAAGCCAACATCATGTTGCCAGGTCCAGGTTTCAGATCAGAAGGCAGAATTTTCCAACATGTTGCATGATTCACTTTATATATACTATGGGTGATATTGGAGACAACACAACATTTCTTCAACAGGTGGGCCTCCATAGCAGATGTGATACACTGCAGTGAACAAAGGAAACTTATCCATCAGTCCCTTTTGCTTGAGGATGTGATACACTTCAGTAGAAGTCTGAGCCCCTTGAAGCTTCTGTCCATTCAGCATTTCCTTTTCCAGTTCTTCAATGGTCTTCCCAGTCCCGGCAAATGCCTGAGCCACCCTGCCGTTCCACCTCCATAGCAGGTGGTGATCAGGTCGGCTACTTCACAGCTCTCTGGAAAGGTGGCTGTGGACACCTGGCCCTTGCAGAAGATTCTGGCAAAATAAATCATTTCCATGAGTCCCAGGCAGATGACGGCAGCTTTGGTGTTGTCTCCACAGTGGAGGCCGTTGCAGAACCCAGCTCCCATAGCCACAATGAGCACCACAAAGTTCAATAGCATCTGCATCATGTAATCTGAAAATTTGGAGTCTGCAGAAGTTCTTTGAAGAGAAGGCCATTCTCTATTACTTTGCTGTAGATGGTGGTCTCACAGAACTTCTCTGCGGCCACCTTATGGCAATGTTGGCTCCCATCAGCACACTGATGTCAATGCCCATCTTCTCTCAGATAATTTCAGAAATTAGCTTCAGCCCCTCAGGACCATCATCTATCCAGGCGTCCTCAAACTATGCCTGCAGGCCACATGCGGCCCACGGAGGACATTTATCCTGCCCGCCAGGTGTTTTTGCCGCAGCTGCCTGTCCTGCTAACAGTGGACTCATCCAGGGGCCTGCGGTCCAGCCCTCCAATTGTTTGAGGGACAGTGAACTGGCCCCCTGTTTAAAAAGTTTGAGGACCCCTGAGGGTGATCCCTAGTGATTCCTTGGGCACTCTCCCGGTGATCTCATCACAAATTCTGTGAATGAACTGGTGTGGAATGACAAACACCAGCAGATCTGCATCCTGCCTGGCCTCACTGAGATTTGGGACAGCTACCACATTTTTGGGCAGCTTATGTCCAGGAAGATATTTTACATTTTCATGGTCATTATTTATGACATCTGTCAGTTTTCTCCCATTAACCATTTCTTCAAAGACCCACATCTTGATGGTAGGAGCAAACTTCTGAAGTTTCTTGACATTATTACCAATTATTTTTGCAACAGCTGAACCCCGAGCTGACTATGCACACTTTGAGGGACACCGTTGCCATGGCCAGGCCAAATGTAGCAGCCCAGGTTGTGCCTCCCTGCCTAGCCACCTACCACCACCTGCTCCAATTAATCTGTTTATTAACAAAGCGAGATGGATATAGATAAGCTTGTATATTCTTCCAGACCATTTTGCATGTATACATACACAGGTGTTTTTTTAATGTGATCATAATGTATATACTCTTTTATGATCTTTTATTTAAAAGATTATCTTAAATGTTTAAACTTTTTTTTTAAGTTGCATGATATCCTATGCCATTATTTATTTAATGGAACAAGTAAGGGAGAAAAATATCTATTTTTTTTTTTACTGTTTTCAATTACATTCCATGTTGTGAGGAACATTCTTGGAGTTTAATCATTGTATGCATTCTTAATTACTTCCTTAGGAAACATTTCTTAAAAAATGGAATTACTAGACATTTTAAAGACTTGATATATTATTGCCAAATTGTCCTTCAGAAAGTCCTAACCAGTTTACAGTCTTCCTAGTGGTTTGTAAAAGTACCCGTTTTCCTCTACCCTTAGTATGTGTATTTGCTGTCCTTTAAAATTTTTAAATCATAAAATGTGTATTGTAACATAAAAAGTAGGAAAATGGGGAAAATCTCCTAGAATGCTATTTCTCAAACAGGTCTATGATATTATACTTGTTATATTCCAGGATTTTGTCATATTAATGAATGGTTATAATTACACATACAAGGTTGTTTAATGCTTTTTTCATTCATTGTTAATTGTTTTCTCTGCCTTTACTTGGTTTTCAGGAGTTCAGTTTTTAATAGCAACATGATAGTATAATAGTATTCTTATTTATCTAACTCTTCTCCCATTCCTGGACAACTAAATTGTTGCCAGTTTTTGTTATTTTATATAAAACTACAATACAAAGAGATATAATTATTGAACATTTACTATAAGCTTTATATGGATACTATGTGATTTTTCCTTACTTTGTGTTTATTTTCTTAGGATTGATGTCCAGAATTGTTAACAACATTTTTGTGGCCCACCTTTCCTTCCTTTGTCATCCTTTACTTTTCTTATTTCTTTCTACCATCATACAGTTATTAGAAGCCTAATAAGCTCCAGACATTATGCTAAGTGGTACTGAGAATACGAAATAAATCACATGGAGTCCTTGAAGTCAAACATTAAATATATATGATAAAGAAGGATATGATAAAATGCATTACTAGAAGATGGATCTGTCCATCATCTATTTATTCATCCATCTACCCATCCTTCCTTCTACAAATGATTTTCCCTCAGAAGCATGAGAGGGCCAGTTTCAGACATGATGCATCTTTATTCCTAAATATTTCAGAATAAGTGATTATATTTTAGAATATTACTTCAGAATACAGTGACCAAATTCAGAGAATTTTACATGTGTATATAATATTATTATCTATTATACACACTGAATTTCACCAGTTATTCACATAGTGTCCTTCATGGCAATTTCTTCCCACCTCCTTGATTCTAGGATCTAGTTGAAAATCTTCCATTACCTTTAGTTGTCCTGTCTTTTTAGTGTCTTTTAATCTGAAACAGTTATTTAGTCTTTCATCTTTCATAACATTGATATTTTTGAAGAACAAAGACCAGTTATTGTTTAGAATGTCCTTCTATTTGAGTTTATCTGAAGTTTTTCTCTTTGTTTAGATTTCAAGTTACATTCTTTTTGTCAGGAAGATCATGTAAATGATGTGTTCTTTCTGCCTCGTATTGGGAGGTGTGTTATGTAGGTTTGTCTCAACATTGGGGAGGTTAAATTTGACTACTTGCTTAAGATGGGGCCTGTCAAGTTCTTTCACTATAAAGCTACAATACCATTCTTTTTGCCTTTGTAATTAAACAGTAATCTGAGGAGATACTTTGAAACCATGTAAATAGCTTCATTTAGCTTTCACCCACTAGTTTTAGCATCAATTGATGATATTCTAACTCCATCATTCCTCCTTTTATTTATTAGTTGGCTTTGTACTGTAAGTAAGTGCTTTCCTTTTGCTGTTTGTTTATATCAGTATTAATTCATGGATTCTTACTTTATCAAGTTGGTTATGTTCTTTCACTGTCTTTATCTTGATGCCCAAATTGTGCCACATCTGGGCAGTAAGAACCCCTTCAAACTGGCTCCTGAGTAATTTCAATATGATCCCATCATGTTTTGAGCAGTTCTTTATTTTTTGGTACAGCAAGATGATCCAGGTTCATCTTATTCTTTATTTGTCTCTGTGCTGGGATCAACCATTTCTCTGAGGAACCTTCATCCCTTTTAGTTTATCAACCAAGATATATGAGCTAAGGTATATGTTTTTAAAAGGGTCCCCAAAGCAATTTTGCTGGTCTGTTTCCAGAACCCACAGTAACAGAGGCCTCTTGCATATAGTAGTTCCTTTATGTCAATTTCCCCCCTTTGATTCAGGATATAGTTGAAGATCATGCATTGCCTTTAATTGTTCTCTCTCTTGTTTCCTTTAAACTGGAATAGTTCTAGACATTGGTTAAATGAACAGGACTAAGGAGATGTTGAACTAATAAGGGAGGTGGAAGAACATAAACTGAGTCACGGTATATGGAAGATCCCAACTAAGAAGGACTACAGTTTAGTGACTTCAAGTAGACAGATTAAGCTAGATAATCAGGCAGGGACCAGTTCATTGAAAACTTACTTTGTCTTCTAAAGAAATTTAACCTTGTAGAAAGTGAAGAGCCATCATAGTTAAAACTGGGTAGGGAAAGGATTAATTTTGTTAGATTTGCGTTTTAAGATCACTCTGCTATCACCAGTGGAAGTTCATAGAGGATAGATTAGGTAAATGTAAAATTATTTTCCAAGAGTGGGTATTTGCCCTCTTTAAGTTTAAACTATTCTCCTAGAAGCCAGTGTTGTAGTTGCTGAATACTAATGCCTCAAAGGAATAGTTGGAAATAGTCTAGTGAAAATAGGCAAGAGACTACATATCACATAAGTTAGAACTTGAGTAATTGATTTATATTACTATAGAATGGCAGTAACTCTTTTAAGTAGTAGTTTTAAAAGCAAGACTGGAAGCTTAATAGTTCTGTCTTCTATAAAGAAATGTAATAACACAAAAGTATATAAAACAGTACTAACATTTTTGATGAATAAAATGTACTTGATGTATTACTGCTACAATTTATTTTTTTATCTTTGGTAATAATAATAATAGGATTGATATAGAAATTCTACCTGATTTGCAAGGCAACCAAAATATGAATTTTAACCATATTTTTCTAACAGCAGCAAATTGTATCTTTGGCTTGAATTTTGCCATTATGGTAATAGATTTTCTGTCTGTTCTGTTTATAGCATATATCCCAAACAGCTGGAATTGAACAAGTGGCTCTTCCAAAACCAGATTTAATTCGAAGGTAAGTATCTTCAAATTAATACCATGTAAACAGCGAGGGTATGCTGAAATGTATGCTTTCATTAGGTGCTTAGTATATCCTGACTATAGAATCTTTTGTGTTCTTGTATTGGTGTGGATGTTCAATGATGAATAGTAGGTATTATTTTTACTTTTTATGTCAATAGGGATCATGTTGATTATGAGATTAATTGACCATTTCCTTGTTCTCTTTATACTATTCTGTTTTAAGCAAAGCTCATAAGATTAATTTTTAAAAATAAATAAGAAATAATATAATTTAGAGTAAAATTCCAGCTAATCTAAAGAAATAAATTACAACCAGGTATATAATTATATTATTATTTAGTATTTATAAACTAGTATTTTCCTCTATGTTGTTTAGGTTGGTGAATTTCTCTTGTTCTACCCTTAAGTCCACTGATTCATTCCTTTGTCCTATTTATTCCACTATTGTGCCTATTCAGTGAGTTTTTTATTTCTGTGATTATATATTTAGTTCTATAATTTCCATTTGGTATTTTAAAATACGTTTTATAAGATTTGTTTTTTTTTCACTTTCTTGAAGATTATTTGTAATTGCTCATTGAAGCATTTTGATAATGGCTGCTTTAAAATTCTTGTTAGATAATTCCAGTATCTGATTCATCTTGGTGTTGGCATATGTTGATTGTTTTTTTGCATTTGATTTATAGTTTTTCTGGTTTTTATTATGATAATGGATTTTATTTACATTTGTTTTCTAGACAGTATGGATGTTAGGTAACTCTAGATCTTATTCAGGTTTTTAACAGGCAGTCCTCCTGTTTAGGTGCATAGGTCCTTCCCTACTTTTGTGGGCTGTGATTCTAATAATAATTTTGCTTTCAACATCCTTCTATTGCTATCCTGTTCTTCCTTGTTCACCTGGTATGGCACCACTGGCCCTCACAGCTAGGCTCTGAGGTGGAGAATTTTTCCCTAGGCCTCCTGCCCCAGGCCTATATACCAGGCCATACTCTACTTATTGGTGGGGTTCCCAGTGCCATGGGGAAGGAAAGGTGATACTCAAGTCCTCTTCTGCTGCTGAGTTCAGGGTCAGAGACACTGAGCTTGTGCTGCTTTTGCCTCTGGACCGAGAATAAGGAGACCAAACCTAGGCTACCTTTTGTCACTCTATGGATAATCAGAGGATAGGAAGCTGCTGTTTTTCCTCAAGCAGTGGGGAGCTTTAGCTAGTCTGCTTTAATCTTTTTACTTTTCAGTACTCTCATGTGACTGTCTATACTTAGGGGTAGGAGCAGGAAGAGTTGAGTTTCTGCCATATTGTCCCAAACCCTTAACTAGTTTAACTAGTTTTAAGTTATTTTGGAATATGTATATATAGCCTCATTAGCTAAAATTATGTCCCTTTTATCCCCAATGGAATTGTTACTGCCTTTTCTCTATAGATTTGAAATCACTAAGAGCAGTATTAATATATCTTCTTCCACCACTTGTGTGCAAATCCTTTTACATATGGACACAAAACAATTTCAAAGTTATTTTTATCTCTTCTTGTACATTTCCCTACAGATGCTTTATGAATAATTGTTAGGAGAAAGGACTTAACCTAAAAATTAATTTTAAAGATATTTGTTTGAAAAAGACAATGTCTGGTGGTTACCATTTTTGTTATTTAAATTGCAAATATTTTTGAATTTTTTGAAATTTTGAAAATTTTTTTGAAATTTTTTTAGGTGTTGGGTTATGTATATATACATATATGAATATATATTCACATATATTCATATAATCATATGAATAAATTATCCCAACACCTAAAAAATTTCAATAAATACATTTGCATAAGATTATATATATATATATATCTGTAGTTTGTTTTAGTGCAAGGGATATTTTCCTCTCCCTATCTCAAGCAGACATACCTCACCAACTGTCTTTCTTGGCACCAGAGGAGGCCTTTGTGTGCAGTAGCAGAATTTGCCATAGTCCTCATGGCTATTGCTGATGACACCTAGGCTTGTTAAGGAGGTATTATGCTGGGTAACCTTCAGAGAGAAGGAATTGAAGTGAGAAGAAGGCTGGAGTAGGGAGGTCATGTTGAGGGTAGGTACATTGACAAGGGCATTCTTAGTTGGATTTCTGTGGGTGAAATTCAATCTGTATGTAAAAACATATGTGATGGGGGAGTCTGCCTTAAATGAAGGGAGTGGATGGCGGGGAATGTTAATAGAACTCGTTTTATCTGAGCTGGCAGGAAGCTGAGAAGCTCTTGCCCCTAGAGCCCCTGCAGACCTTAAGGATGGTCATTTTAGAAGTAACTGATGATGTCCATATAGTGCTTCTCTGAATATTCAGAACTTTTTCTAACTTTTGATATCTTTGCAGGGTTCTGGAAGGAGTATGGAAGTGAGTGAGATCCAGTAATAACTGCAATGAGCAAATTTCTCCTTGGTTTTTCAGTTGAGATTAAATGTGATTTAGGAACATGTTTAATAATCACAGTGGTGCCTCACAAAGAGCCAAGAGGCCAGGTGCTATCCTCATTTTAGGATCAGCACATGGATGCTCAAAGGAATAAGTGACTTTCTAGGATCACATGGCAGGAAGTACAAGCCGATGTCTGGGGTACAGGAAGCTTGACTCTCAGTTCAGGATCTTTCCCCATCACAAGGCCTTTCAGGGGATGTTTCATAAGGTCTCTAAAAGATAGTTGAGAATCCACAACCAGAACTCTGGATTGAGACTAATTCAGTGCTGGAATGAAATGTCTTATCTCTGAAGTTAAGATCCTCTCCAAGTCACCTTGAAGTCTCCTACCATGGACCAGGTAGCACAAGACACACTTGTATTAAAACATCTACTACCTTCATATTAGAATAGAGTACATTAGATTCTTGCTTCTCCATTCTTGTGATGCTTTACTAAGAATAATGTGTTCCAACTCAGTCTAGGTTAATACAAAAGATAAAAAGTCTCCATCATTTTTAACACCTGAATAGTATTCCATGGTATACATATACCATAGCTTGTTAATCCATTTCTGGGTTAGTGGGCATTTAGGCATTTTACACATTTCGGTGATTGTAAATTGAGCTGAGATCAACAGTCTAGTGCAAGTGTCTTTGTGGAAAAAGGAATTTTTTTTCTTCTTCTGCCCAGTAATGGAATTGTAGGATTAAATGAGAGAGAGGTCTTGTGTGAGTTCTTTGCGAGTTCTCCATACTTCCTTCCAAAAAGGTTGTATTTGTAGTCCCACCAGCAGTGCAAGTGTTCCCTTCTCTCCACATCCGTGCCAGCATTTGCAGCTTTGAGACTGTGTTGTGGGCCATGTTCACTGGGGTTAGGTGATATCTCAGGGTGGTTTTGATTTGCATTTCTCTGACAATCAGGGATGATGAGCATTTTTTCACGTTTGTTAGCCATTTGTCTGTCTTCATCAGAGAAGGTTCTATTTGTATCTCTTGCCCGTGGTAGATGGGATTGTTTACTTTTTGTGGATTAATTTGAGCTCTCTGTAGATTCTAGTTATCAATCTTATGTCAGATTCATGCCCTGAAAATATCTTTTCCCATTCTGAAGGTTGCCTTTTTGCTTTACTTGCTGTGTCCTTAGCTGTGTGGAAGTTTTTCAGCTTAATTAAATCCTATTTGTTAATTTTTGTTGTTGAAATGACTGTTGAAGTCTTTGTCATAAAATCTTTCCCCAGTCCAACATCAACAAGAGTTTTCCCCACACTTTCTTCTAAGATTTTTATTGTTTTGTGTCTTAAATTTAACGCTTTTATCCATCTTGAGTCAATTTTTGTAAGTAGTGATTAGCTCTCCCAGCATCATTTGTTGAATAGGGATTCTTCCCCTCCCCCGTATGTTTTGTTTGGTTTATCAACAATCTGAAGTTAAGTAGAGACTGATGGCATTTCTTGGTTTTCCATTCTGTTCCATATGTCTATGTCTCTATTTTAGTGCCACTACCATGCTGTTTTGATTACTGTGGACTTACAATATATCCTTAAGTCGGGTAGGGTGATGCCTCTGACTTTGTTTTTATTACTAAGAATAGTTTTATCTATACATGTTTTTTCTGGTTCCATGCAAAACAAAATACCATTTTTTCTAGTTTGTCAAAATATGATGTTGGTATTTTAATGGTGATTGCATTGAATCTATAGATTGCTTTGGGTAGAATAGACATTTAGACAATGTTGATTCTTCCTAGCCAAGAGCATGGTATGTTCTTCCATTCGTTAGTGTCTTCTGCAGTTTCTTTTATTAGAGTTTCATTGTTCTCTTTGAAAAGATCTTTCACCTCTTTTGGTAGGTATATTTCTAAGTATTTCATTTTATTTGAAGGTACTGTGAAGGGAATTGTGTCCTTGATTTGCTTTTCAAAATGGCCGTTAATGGCATATACAAAGGCTAATTTTTTCTAGACATTGATTATGTACCCTGAGACATTACTGTATTTCCTAATGACTTCTAGGAGTTTTGTGGTTGAATCTTTAGGGTTTTCTAAGTATAAGATCATATAATCAGCAAAGAGCAAGAGTTTGTCCTCCTTTGCCCCAATTTGGATGCCCTTTATATCCTTCTCTTGCCTCATTGCATTTACTGGAACTTCCAGCACAGTGTTGAATAATAGTGACGATAATGGACATCCTTTTCCGGTTCTAGTTCTAAGTGGAAAAGCTTTCAGTTTTACTCCATTCACTATGATGTAATCTGTAAGTTTGTCATAGATGGCTTCAGTCTGCTGAAGAAATGTGCCACCTATGCCTATTTAAGTGTTCTTTTTAGAAAAGGATGCTGAATTTTGTGAAATGCTTTTTCTGCATCTATTGAGAGGATCATATGGTCTTTGTTTTTGCTTCTGTTGATATGATGTATTATATTTATGGATTTGCATATGTTAAACCAGCCTTGCATCCCTTGGATGAAGCCTACTTGATCATGATGTATAATTTTTAATGTGTAGTTACAATCTATTAGCTGAGATTTTGTTGAGTAGTTTTGCATCAAT